AAAATGTCATGAATCAAGAATAGCTGTTATTAAAAGTAATAAAACAGCCGTTTAGAAATGATCACACAGAAATTAAATAAAAAAAAAACATTTCTAATGTGTTATGAATTACTGTTATTATTTATATTGATCCATTGCTTTATTTCCAGAGTAGATAAAATGATTGAATTTGTCAATATTTCTCAAGTGCAACTGCTGATGTTGATGTTATTCCTTCAATTTTTTGTTCTAATTGCCATGCTCGAATCTCTTCTATTGGTCGAGCACATATTTCTCGTTTATCAGCTGCTGGAAATTTTAGATTTGCTAATTTTTGTAATCTTAAAATTTGTACTTCTCGTTGAATTTCTTTATTTTTTGGAATATCATTTGATGTTAATGCAAGTAAATCATCTAATATTTGTTGTAATTTATGTCGTTGTTTTGCTTTAGTTGTACAACCACACCAGGGAAACGAACTCCAAAATTTACTATCAATATATTCATATAATGATTGAATTAATAAGTAGAACCAATCATTCTTATATATGACACGAGCATCGACCTGATTATTTTCTTTGTTAATTACATTAGCAATTTGATTTACTAATCGTTGTGATGACTGAAATTCTAGAGCTTGACGATCATATTCACGTTCAATAATTGACATAGCAAGACTGGTTAAAATTTGATTAAAATTTAGTATTCGTGAACCTGTTGTAAAGATATAATTTGCTAATTCACGTCTTTCACTGATTATCATATGAGATTTTTCAAATCCTTGATAGAATAAAATAGCACATAACAATCGACCAAATTGTGAATTTAAATCAATTTCCTTTTGAATAATATCTTGAGAAGAGTTAACATTACTCTGTTGACCTTGTAATATGGATGGTAATTTGGAACTGGTCAAGAGAGGATTATTACTAGGAGTCATAATTACTCGATTACCAACTTGGGAATCCAATGTAGATTTATATACATATTTAGCACCATAAACAACGGTCATACAACCTGCGGCATCTGCATTTGCAGTATCATCATAGACTACTTGATATAAAAATCTATGATCATCTTGTTTTTCATAATCTGTTCGAAATGTATTGGCTTTAACAATTAATTGTTGGTTACTAGGCCGACTGAATCCAAAGCCAGACCAAAGATGATTTGTCGCTTCTGACTTAGTTTTTTGTTTAATATCAATAAATTGTAAATTATAATAATCGAATAGAGCAAAATCGAAATCATCCGGTAGACCAGCACCAATACAAATAAAACCAGCATTCTCAGACGATTTCATATGTTCTAAAAATAATCGAGATTTAATTGTATTAAATGTTGATTCAGGATTTGAATAAATAAAAATAATTAAATCTGTTGTATTTAACCATTTTATTTCAGGATTATGAAATGCTCCATATCGTTCAATATCCCAAGTTTGGCTGGAGTATTGGAACAATTGAAATAAATTTTGATATGCAAGAAATTCAGCTCGACCAACTTGAGAATTTGTTACTAGAAGTACATCCGTACGAATATTCGGTTGAAATGTTGGCACAACTCGAATGTTATTGCTATGTTTTTCAATTAGTTTATCACGTAATAATAAATCAATATTCCAAAATAAATGTTCATAATATTGATGAACAGCATCGCCTTCTAAAATCATTTCAAATTTAATATGTTTTGTTTTTCGAGATGCAATCTCTTCATTAATTTTGTAGTAACCATAACCATCGGATTTTATTTCGTAAAAATATTCTCCATTGGCTGGTAAAATTTTTAGTAAAGAATGAGTAGAGAATATACATTCGATTGAACCAGCTGAATCCGAACATGCACCATATGATCGTCCTGAAATATTGGTAAAACTAACTGTAACAGTAGCCCGTTCATTAGGACCTAGAAAAGTTGGAATGTCAATTTTTGTTATTTGAATTGGATATTGACAGGGAAACGAAGCTGAAACTTGACTGCCGCTAAATAAACGATTTAATAGACGTATTTCTGATGTTATTTTAACGGGTTGTTTGTATGGTCGATTGATTGAAAGACTATGTGGACCATCTAGATGGCATTTAAATTGATGAGAATCAACCAAAACTTGATTGATATGAATACCTGGCAATACACTAACATCTTCTGCATCATTCGTAATATATTTTGTAGATGGAAATGATAATATACATCCACTAGGCATGGTCAGTGCGCCATTATTTGCCCATTTAACGCTAGTAATAAAAAAATTTGAGTCAGGCTCGTAAATTCCATCGTTATTTTCATCTGTAATAGTATAACCACCGACACTAGCATGATATTTATCAGGCCCTGTTTCTAGAATATTACCACTTATATCAATTACAGCATATTGAATTGAACCGTGGCTTGCAGGGCGACCATCGCGACCATGGGAACCATCACTACCTGCGTAACCACTCATACCGCATGATCCACTTGAACCACTCATACCATCAGAACCACTTGCGCCGCCCGGCCCACCATGACCACCACGCCCACCCCTACCGCCAGATCCTCCGGCACCACCAATGCCTCCTGAACCGCCGCTCCTACCGTGACCACCTCTACCTTTTTCTCCCGCTCGACAATCCGGTTCAATCAACATAAATAATCGAGGATCTGCACTTCGAACTTGGATATGACCACCAGCACCTGCATCTCCACCATCTCCTCCTCGTCCTCCATTCCCACCATTGCCTCCACACCCTCCGTTCCCTCCATTTCCACCAGAACCGCCACATCCTCCAGAAGCACCTTCATCGTAAGAGTTATATCCATCTGTACCATCATCACCGCGACCACCATCTCCTCCACAACCTCCGCCTCCTCCGACTCCTCCTCGTCCACCATCTCCACCGTTGCCTCCTACAGCTTTTACCAGAATGATTCCATTTGATTTATCTAATTGAAAACTATAATTGATATTGCTAAGGGATTGAGCGAGATTCCAATCAATACCAGGAGAATAATTGTATGGATTATTTAATGTTTGAAATGTTTGTACTTGCATATTGAGGTAGTCAACTGTTCCATTTAACCAGATCAATGCGTGTTGAGCATTTGTACCAGGATGACCTGATTGACCATCAAGTCCACCACTACCATCACCACCTCTAGTACCACAACCACCTATTCCACCATCACATCCAGAAAATCCGGATGTACCATCAGCACCAGAATAGCCATTTGCACCTGAATTGCCACTAATAGAAATAACTTGATCCACAGGCTTTGTCAAAGCTCGTTGACTCACACTTTCAATATCGACAGAAAAATTCGGTAATTGAGCTTCTATCGTTCTACACGTCATCTTATTTTCATTGAAAAGAATTCAACACTATTCTTTTTAAATATTATCAAATAGAGAATGAATCGTGGGTCACCTTTATAAATATATGTTGTTTCAAACAAAAACAGACTCCTTCTCTTATCTTTTTGCATATATATATATAGGTGTGCGTGTGGATGTGGATAGGGATGCAATGGTGACGATTAGTCACCGCTTGATCGTAGGAATCGGTAACCGTTGAACCGATAACCGGTGAACCGGTAACCGGTATAAACCGGTAATCGGTGAATCGGTAACCGGTATGAACCGGTAAGCGGTTCAGGTCGGTTATCGGTTCACTTGCATAGTAGTTTATGTTTAAAACTATATTTTGATATAAAGCAGGAATCCATAATTAGGGGTGCGAAGTTACCGTTACCGTTCCCAGGTAACGGTAGCTCTTCCGTTACCAGTTACTGAGGAACGGGGTAACGGCCATACTATCGGGGGTACCCTTAGGCCCCTAAGTTCTACTATTGGGAGGTACCCTCGGGTCCTCAAGTGCTACTATTAGAGGGTACTCAAGTCCTATTATTTGGGGGTACCCTTGGGTCCTCAAGTCCTATTATTGGAAGGTACCCATGGGTCCTCAAGTGCTACTATTAGAGGGTACCCTTGGGTTCTCAAGTCCTATTAATGGTAGGTACCCTTAGGTTCTCAAGTGCTACTATTGGGGGGAGGGGTACCCTTAGGTCCTCAAGTCCTATTATTGACAGGTATCCTTGGGTCCTCAAGTCCTACTATTGGAAGGTACCCTTGGGTCCTCAAGTTCTATTATTGGGGGTACCCTTGGGTCCACAAGTCCTACTATTGACAGGTATCCTTGGGTCCTCAAGTCCTACTATTGGAAGGTACCCTTGGGTCCTCAAGTCCTATTATTGGGGGTACCCTTGGGTCCTCAAGTGCTACTATTGGGTGTACCGTTGGGTCCTCAAGTCCTATTATTCGGGACACCTTTGGGTCCTCAAGTGCTACTATTCGTGGGTACCCTTGGGTCCTCAAGACCTATTATTGGGGGATGTGCATGTGGGTGTGTGTGTGCGTGTGTATGTAGGTGTGGGTGTGAGTATGGGGTGTCATTATGAATAAAATGAATACCTTCACGCACACTCATACCTGCACTCACACCCACACCCACCCACACCCATGCTCACACCCTCATCAGTAAAATAGTAGAACAAAAAGAATATTGAGATATCAGCAAAAATTAGAAATAGTGTATCAAAGGCGTTGTTGATTTAAAAACAAACAATCGGATTTAGAAAAACATTAAATATAAAAAATTTCATCACTAATAGTCATCACAATCATATAAATAAAGCATCCAGCTTAATATCATATAAACGTTCCCTGTGATGTCATGGATAGGTCAAATTTTCAAGACTAGTTTTCCGTTGAAAAAATCACGCAGTGTTTGTTATAACAATAATGCAGAAAATTTGAAGACGTCGGTACTATCAGAACTTTACTCGCTTTAAACAATTCTCTAGAATGTTTGCCCCCAGCTAGAGATATATGTTTAGAATCAGAATAAATTTGTGAGTCGTATGATATATTTTTCCCTCAAAATATTCATTGCCCGAGACGTTCGATGAAAGTGCATTAGTAACTTTCGAATCTGCTATAGAAAGCATTTGGCATCGGTCTTTGACATCTGACTATGTATAAACAAGACGGTTTGCGTGTTTAGACAAAACGCTTGAAGCAGTTTGTAATTATTTCTAATAGTTCTAACTTAGATACTTCAAGTGTCAATGGATAACCGATTTTTGACAGTCATCTGTCTAAAATTCTCTTGATCTAACAATTTGCACTGATGTTATCAGGCGTCGGGTATCTGTCTTTTCTAGACACTTCAACTAGTTTGAGACTTACTGATTCTGGAATGGTCATATAGTCACATATGAACATTACATATAAGAAAACAAAATTTTAATAAGGCTTTTTTCCTCATAAATCCTTTTGTTAGTTAGAATACAATCCAACAATTTAATGAAAGAAATTTTTGAGAGTTTAGTGATTTTTCTTCGAACCTTTCCGAAAATGTGGAAACAATATCATTGAATATTGAAGAAATTTTATTTAGTTATTGGTTAAATTCCAACGCACAATAATACTTACGAGAAAGAAAACTTTATCCAAATATATCTACATTTGATGTTCATATGAGATCGTATATCTATTCTAGAATCAATAAGTCTCAAATTAGCTAAAATATCTAGAAAGAGCAGATGTCAGAGAAATGTGCAAGAAGATTTCTTCAAAAACATTGAAGTGCAAAACCACATAAGCATCTTTTACATCTGTCTATGCCTATTACAGGTGAAATTCGATCTTGTTTTTCTACTCTATTTGAATTATAATGCATTATGAATCAAAACGCTTTCTAGAAATCCGTGATTGTAAAATATATATATATACACCAAACTAATATCGACAAACATTATATCATCTGAAAAAAAACAAATTATTAAAAATTTAATAAAATCAAATAAAAAATAAATTATTTACTTTCATTTATGTAACTGCAGAACTATTTAAGAGATACGACTAGACTTAATAACGGCAACATATAACAAAGAATTCCTTATCGAAAAAAATGTCCCACACAAATGTAAAAGTTTAGTACTGTATAATTAACATCGCCAAATAAATATTTTCTTTTTTACTTTCCATTAGAATTCAAATAATTTTTCAGTTAAATCATGACTGATACATATGTGTACCATAAAAAACGCATTACCAGCTCAACTTAACAATGAAAAAGTAATAATAAGCCAACCGCTCCAGAAATAAAATTAATATCCAGCAGATAAAATTGATGAAAATTTACATACTAAAGAAACAGTACATTACTACTTTCGGCTTAAAAAATAGAAGAATTCCGTTTTCTTACACCTAGACCTAGTACGAGGGTGTGGGTGTCCGGTGGGTGTGTGGGTATCGATGAAGAGAGAACCCACACCGAATAGTAGGACTTGAGGACATACGAATATCCGCCCATAGTAGGACTTGAGGACCCAAGCATACCACCCAATAATAGGATTTCAGGACCCAAGGGTACCCACCGAAATAGGACCTGAGGACCCAAGGGTACCCTCCAATAGTAGGACTTGAGCACCCAAGGATACCTTTCAATAATAGGACTTGGGGACCCAAGGATATCCCTCAATAATAGGACTTGAAGACCCAAGGGTACCCACTAATAGTAGCACTTGAGGATCCAAGGATACCTCTCAATAATAGGACTTGAGGACCCAAGGGTATCCCTGAATAGTAGCACTTGAGAACCCAAGAGTACCCTCCAATAATAGGGCTTGAGGACTCAAGGGTACCCCCGAATAGTACCGCTTGAGGACCCAAGGGTACCCTCCAAGAGTAGGACTTGAGGACCCAAGGGTACCTCCCAATAATAGGAGTTGAGGACCCAAGGGTACCCCCAATAGTATGGCCGTTACGCCGTTCGTCGGTAACTGATAACGGTAACTTCCCACCCCTAATTATGGATGCCTGCTTTATATCAAAATATAGTTTTAAACATAAACTACTATGCAAGTGAACCGGTGACCGGTCTGAACCGGTTACCGGTTCAACGGTTACCGGTTCAACGGTTACCGGTTCAACG